AAGTGTGCACATTTGCACATAGACTCCTGCTCCCTCAGCACATTGTCTACATTTTACTCTCTCCTTAAGAATTTCTCCATGCAGTAGACATTCTTAAAAATGACATCTGTCTGTTAAAGTGGTTTGCATATGGCTGACTTTATCAAAAAAGGCAGAGAATGAATAAGTGAAAGTTTGCATTCCCTGAAGAGAAAGCTAAAGACTCAAAAGCATGCTAAATAGCAGGAAGAAGAATTAAAATGCTTCCAATAATTCACTAACTATTCAACAGTTGGCCATTTAGGTGCAAGTCAATACATACTTTACCACCTAGGCAAAGCATCATTCTGGAAAATGAAGGGATACTAAGTAATAATCCCAGATCTGAAGGGGCTAATCATCTAATTGGGGAGGGGACAAATGAGTAAACAAGTAGCAATTATTATGTAAGATAAAAACTAAAAACAGAAGTAAACAGTACTTCGGAGATTCAATGGAGGGAAAAAGGAGTCGGTTAGAGAGACAACATGGAACATAGTTCAGAACAGTTTCACACAAGCAGTACTGAGGCCAGGGGACCAGGGGGCCAGGAGGCAGCAATCCAGGGGGAAGAGTCTGAGCTTAAACTACAGACTGGTTCAACCCCAGGTTCTTAGGAGTCTGTATTTATCTCAGTAAGCAACTGGGAGCCCTCAAGGTTTTTGAGTAGGGAAACCATACGGACAAAGAGGCCTTATCTGGTGATACAAAAAATAGGATCAGACTTTTGGTGACAGCGATAGGTATGGGAAAGGGAGAACAGGCATGAGAAGAGGTGCAGCCTCTCTTTCTCACTACCGACCAGGGCAAGAGCGTGAGAGCTTCCAGCCTGGGTTGGTAAATAAACTGCAATTTCATTTGCCAAATGACTAAAGTTAATTGGTCTTGTTTCCCTCTTTGTTTTGGCTACCAGGAAGCTCAGAGCCAAATATATGGCCTATTTCTAATATACGGCAAGCTTTTATGTGTAGCCTATAAATCTGTTAATCTCCTTCTTAACAGGACTTTATCTATATTTAGTAAGTCACCTTTAATTAATTATTTAAGAATAAGGCAGAAAATATATCAACATATAAAAAAGAATTGAGACCAAGCCAGAGACAGTTGGACAAAGTAGCTGGCTCAGGGATACAAGCTGTAGGCTGCCAACCCAGAGCATTCTCCTCACCCTTCTTCCACTCCAGAGGCCACATTCCACAACAGAAGCTGAAAAATGTCATACTTTTCAACCTCCCTCACACGTAACAGTGGCCTGAGATCAGTTCTGCTCCACAGAATTGAAGGGGAAGTCTCCAAGATGACCTCCTGGAAAAGACTCCACTCTAATAAGGAGGAGTTTCTTACATAAGCATGATATCTGGTAATACAGCAACCATGTTACAAACACTAGGTAATGAGCCTGAGGCTTTTGATAAGCTAAAATATTAAGAATAGAGGTGGAAAAAGATGCAAAGAGCCTAGAGTCTTAAAAGACATCAAGACACTGCACCACCCTTAGAACAGTCTCTCTCTACACTTCTTGCCACTGGACAATGAACTCTATTATTTAAGCCATTTTTAAGTTAAGTACTTTCACCTCACAATGCAGAGATCAAATCATGAGATCAGTTTCTGACAGGTTTGTTTTTATTTTGCTGAGCTAACGAGATTATTATTATTGAAATGAGAATAATGCGAACATGTACTAAGAATCAGAAAGCAATAAGCTATAAAAGTGACTGGGGGCAGCTAAAGATTAAAAACAAAAGGATGTAATAAGAAGTAACATTTGAAGAAATGTTATCAAGTGTTACTGAGGGCACTTCTTGAAGGCAGGAAGAAAGGAAGAAAAGAGTAAATGCACAGAGGTTCTCTAAGATGGAGAAAATGAGGGAGACTTTCTTTTCTGGCAAAGCTATAAGCAAGATAACCTAAAAATCCTTCCCAATATAAAACAGTCAAAAAATTCTGGGTAAAGTGTAAGAAACATCTCTTAATGCTAAGTTCACAAGGAAATAAAGGACCTCCCCCAAAGGCCAAAAAAAAATCAAAGAAGAACCTAAAAGCCAGAGTAGAAAGTATAAGCTGATTGTGTATGGGAACCTAGGGTTTAGTGAGCTTGGAAGGGGTGATTATATGTGTTGTAAAGGGCACCTGCCTTTCGGTATGTAATAGAAAAAAGAAAAAGGGAAATAACTACCCTAACATTTTCTTTAAAAACACCATCTTGAAGACAATTATAGTTCTTGTTTTCAACTTCATACATTTTTACCCCTTATGAATAAAGCAAATTCCGGAATTAAATGCATATTCTAAAAAATGTACATATTATATATTTACACATCACAAAGGGTTTCCTGGATATTTCACCACAAGACTAAGTAAACTATAAGCTAGATATAAATCTTTTCCCCCAAAACACACACTGCCCAATTTTTCAATCATTATTAAAAGAACCATCATTTAATCGAGTTTAAAAGTTCAGTATATCTTTAACCATACTATAAGGTTTCCAAATCCTAGTACTTCTTGGTATGACTTTCATCATTAGGGTTATTTTATTATTCTACTTACTATGCTACCAATAGTCTCATAATACCTTATACGTCACCTAAAAATAATGTCATCTCTAAGCCAATCTTATGACCCTCTATATGACAGATTTTGGAGTCACTGCAAATAAACGGTAATGGGAACTGGCAAAACATGTGGGGATTGGGGACTGTACTGACTGGGGGGACTGTCTCTAATATTAAGAGGCGGAAAGAAGGAATTACAGGTGCAGCTAAAAACAAAACAAAAAAACCCCACCAAAACCTCTTACAATCCTCCACTGAGTTTACCTTCCTCTAGTCTCACTTCCTGCCCACATTTCTTTGAATATTGAAGGCATAATATATTCCTTTTGCACATCCTCAAATTTTCATGCTGGCTTTACAAATGGGCCCATTTCCACTCTAAATTCCACTATGCCACCTCCATGATTCAATTTATTCCAAGGCCATCTTTTTTCGAAAAGTCCACTCATCTTTGGGCAATCCGAACATCCCAAGACATACAACAGATAATTTATATAATTTCACAAGGGTTACATTTGTCTCCAAAGCATTCCCAGACTTATGTAACATCGAGCCTTTTAACCTAGTGTTCACAAACATACTTGGATACAAGAAATACACCATCCTAAATGCTGTTTTAGATTGTGTTGCATCTTGAATGTTTTTCCACAACCTACGTGCTAGGTGGTTCTAGATTAAGCATTTATACTGCAAATAAGGCTACGAAATGCAGGTGGTAGAACTCGGAGATCAAGAACCCAAGTATGAAAAGACAGCTTGAATTGGTTCTTCCCCTCCCGCTGATACAGGGACAGGAGTTGTGAACCGCTGAGTCCCAGGAGACTGAAGCTCCACGGGTGAGCACGCTTAGGTCCACCGGGAATAAAGCGAGTTAGCAGAGCAGGGAGGCTCCAGCGGACGCGCTGCATTCTGGGACTGGTTTCCACAGTTACCCACGTGCACCCAACCCAACCCGGGCCCGGACTCCAAGATCCAGAATTCCGCGGGAGCGCCTTTCCCCTTCACACCGGCGACTGGAGCCAGACCCTAAAGGAAACCCCTAAAGCGCCCACCCCGCTTGCCAAGCAGAGTTCGCGCACCGCGGAGCCTCCGGCTCGGCTCTCCCTGCAGGGAAGCGGGTCCTGAGGCACCAACTTCGACACCTGACGACCAGAAATTAGATAACTGCGTCACAGACTGCCAAACCTGCGGACGGCCAGGGTCCCCAACACCTCCCCTGTGCAAAAACCCCACCTGGCCTCCAGGGCCCGACTCCTCCGACTACCGCGGCGGAAACCCCGCAGCCAGCGTCCCTGCCCCGCCTCCCAGTCCCGCAGCCGGAGCCCACGCCCGCGCTGACCTCGCTTCCCGCCGCTCTGGAGGAATCGCGGCCAGCGCCAACCTCGGGGCACCTCCCCGCCCCCTCCATCTCAGACCCACCCCCTCCTCTCCCCGCACCCTAGGCTCAGGGCTCCCCGCTCCAGGGACCCTGCCACGCTGGGAGTCACCTCCCCCAAACAAGAGTCTGGCATCTTCCCCCAGCCCCGCGCGGACAGATTCTGGACGTGACAGTGCCCCCCTTGCCCCAGACCTTCCCGATCTCCCTTTTCTCCAAACTATCTCTTCCCCCACACTGCACCCCCTCTACCCCTGCCCCCATTCTGTCACTCCAAACCGTCCCTTCCTTCCTTTCCTCTAATTACCCGATCTTCCCAACACCTGCTCCACCCTGTTACCCCAGCGTCCTCCCCCTCTCACACTCGGCTACCCCACAACCTTTCCTATGCCCCTCCCGCCTACCAGATTCCCCAAGTATCCCACCACACCCCAGTCCCTCCCACCGTCTCGCTCTCCCGTTACATCAGCCCTCATCTTGCCTGCCCTCCGGCCCCGCTCGGCCGTTGTCCCCATTCCCCCGCCGCATTGTTCCCCCCACCCCCGCCAGCCAGCCCTTCTTCCCATTGTCCCCGCCCCCGCGGTCCCCTCACACTCCGTCTTTCTCACCAAACCGCCCGCACCGCTCAGCCCCAAGGAAATCCTCACCCCTGCACGCTCACTCCCTCTCTCACCAGGCCGGTGCCACCGCCGGGCCCAGCCCGCTAGTGCCCGCCGCCGCCTCCACCTCCATTCACCCCGGACACTACGGTCCCGGCCCTTCATCGCACGTCCCGCCCCCCTTCCCCCAACACTGAAACGGAGCCAGTCCCCACCCCCCACACTCCCGCCTACCCAGCAGACCGGCCCCTTCCCCTAACGCCCGCCCCCGCCCCGCGCTGCCCGCAGCGTCACCACCCGCCCCGGCTCCGGCCCCGGGAGGGGAAGGGGTGGCTCCCGGGCAGGGGCTCCCGGCGCGTTTCGGGACAGGAGGCACGGGTCGGGGACTGCGGGAGCCGAGTGGCGATTGCTAGCAGCCGCCCGCCCTGGCCCGCTGGCTCTGTTACTCACTGACAGCAGCAGCATCCGAGTGCATTTTCGAGCAGCTCACTCCCTGCTCGCAAACCCAGGCTTCCGCGCTCGCCTCGCCGTCCCCCCACCGGCTCCCCGCACCTCGGCTCGGAGCAGAGGACCCGCCGCCAGGCACTCCCGACCCGCCCACCTCGCCTCCACCATTGGCTGAACCTTGGTTGAGGAACCGCCCGGCCGCAGCTCTCATTTGACAAAGGGAGTGCGGAGAGCACCGGTCTGAAGCTTTCAAGGAGGCCCCGCCCCCTGATGTCCAATGTGGTTGGTCCGAGCGCCTGGTCCGGTAACGCCCCTGGCGGAGACCACGCTCTGGAGCAGCAGGTTGGACCCAGCTGCCGTCACTCAGCCCCTGGGGTCCGAGAGCGCGTGGAGGGGCGAGGCTGGGGATTTGGTCCGCCTTGACCCTGAAGCCCCGCCCCGTCGCGGGCGGGATTGGTGGCGCTACAGACCAACGGAGAAGGATGGGTAGGCATCTGAAACAAAGCACGCGTGGTGTTCTCCTAAGAACCGAGACTGGGAAGTGCGGTTGGGGCGGCTTGCATCCCACTACATGGAGTGGCGGAGTCAGCCCACACCTCGCGCCTTGCGCGGCGCCTCCGGGTCTCCAACTTGTCTTGGACGCCTCAGAGCTGCTCTCTGCAGGAGCACGGTCCGCGCCGTACTTGGACTACCTCTCTTGCTGCTGTTTCCTATAGCTGGAAACTGGATAAAGAATCGCCGTGTCTTCGTTTCCAGCAAACCCTCTGCCGAGGAACAAATCCCCATTTCTTGGAAAACAATCCATCTTAACCCGTTTGTAAAAAGCACCTCTTTTCCAGAATCAACACGAAGGTACAGATATTGTCTGTCATACACACATCTGTACACCCCCGGTACGGCATCCAGGAAGTCCAGGGCCACGCTGTGAGCTTCGGGCTCAGTCTAGCAGGCAAGTCATGGAGCAGGTCACCGGACCTCGAAGGACATCTAGCTCAAGCTGAGAGAACCTAAGTCGTTGACACAGGGGTCATCATTTGGCTTTTACGTGAAAGAGGAAGGTGTTGATTTAAGGGAATTCTGACCACTTGAGTTTCCTAAGTCAAGAAGTCACACCATTTTCATGAGTTGTGGCCAGTTTTTCAATGCTTTCAAACCAACTTATCACATTTACCATAATATAGTCGCAGAATAATATTCTAAGATACTAACAGAAGGTCGCCCCTCCTACCCCAACTATAGCACGCACATACCACTTCCCTGTATCCCAAAGCCCTGCCCCTTACGGTGGCCAGGGCATTCCAGGATCCTGACTCTGGGAGTGGATGACGCCACAAACAGCTAGTTGCAAAATAGCAATAGTTTTGGTTTTAGAATTCTATAGCCAAAGCGTGTGAGTTTCAACTGGGTTCTGAAATTTAGATTTCAATACAAAAACAAAATATTTGAAAGAACAGGATAAAACCAGTTCCTGTCTAAACCACTCCTCTTGTAAAATACTCCATCTTTCTTAATCCCTAATGTCTCATTAATAGATTACATCCTTATAATGTTATGTCTATCATATTTCTATCATTCAAACATTTATGAATCACTTCAGCTAATCAGGGAGTCTCAGAATTGACCTAAATTTGTCCACTTCAGGTTCCTTCTCAAGACAAGAATCTCCTCAGTATTGATGATCTTTTAACCTGACCTTTAATCTGTCGGGTCTAGCTTCAGAAATGTGTAAGTACCTCTGCATTCTAAGATGAGCCATTCCTTGTTGGGCAGATCTCATTGTAAGAATGTCCTCCTTACTCCTAGCAGAAAAGCTGCTCCTACATTCTTTAACCCTTGTATGTTTGCAACATCTTTTACATCTAGGAAATAAATTATATCTAATTTATATAAGCTCATAATACTTTGTATATATAATATTTGTATGGTTTTTTTACTGCTTATCATGGTGCTTAAAGGATTGAGACACAGTTGTTTTGCACAGAAATGGGCTTGCTTCTTGACCCCTCTAAATTAAAATGAGCCCACAATTAATTTATTTTAGGTAGCCATTTGCTATATTGATTAATTAGAAGCAAACTATAATTATGTATGTAATGCTAAGTTACATGAGGGACCTGCTATCTGCTTTGTCCCAGCACTCCACTGGAGCATGGTGTCCATAAAAATTTATATAATATACAACTGTGTTATTTCTCAGCATCACTTTCAGTTAGGTCAATATGATTATTTTCAAATAAAAAACACTTAGTAATTTACACAGCTGTTTATAGTGGGTCAGCTACAGCCTAGAGATTGAGAGGCAAAACTCAGGGCTAACCCTCACTGCTGTATGTATTTTATGAATAACAAAACAGATGTAATTAAGTGACTGTATACTATTCTGCAAATATTACCCTGTCATTTGTATAATCCACAGATTATACACCTTATATACCTTTGAGGGCAGGAAGCTTGCTATATTTATCTTAATGTCCCTGGCACCTAGTACAGTACTTTTAAATAGGCACAAGTTAACTGTTTCTTAAAGTGAACTGAGTGTTGACTGTAATATGAAATTTTAGACCTGGAAGGAACCTTGGAGATTATCGAATCCAACTTCCTCGTTTTAAGAATATGAGATTTGAGGTCCAAAGGAGTTAAAGGTCTAATCCAAGTCATTCAGCTAGTTAATAACATAGCAATAATCAAACTCAAATTTCCCAACTCCTAGAGCAGGTCTTTTCTCCTGTACCACACTGTCCAATAACAAAGCTTCATATTCCACTAGTCTCTTTTCCCATTTGAAAGTTATATCAGTCTAATACAAATTCTATACTTCAAAGCTGGATTGCCATCTCTCTTATGAAATTCAATTAGGAATTTTTTCAGTATATAATACAACATTTCATTTTTTTCCTCATTAATGTCATTCCCAAATAATTTGATCTCTGTGGGAATGTTTACTGAGATAATAATGTTACACTTCTGTGCATTTATATTCAAATCCTTGAAGAAAAAAAATAAATAATTGTCTTGGGACTGTTATGGTAGAGTAAAATTTTTTTCCAAGTTCTACAAATCCCACCATAGCATGCTTTTCCTGCATGTGTTGGGTTGAGAATACAGAATAGAGAATGGCACAATTCTAAAGACTGAAGTAAATCTGGGCCTGCTTATAGACAAATAGGTAAATGTACAGCTGGTAAGATGTGAAGAGAAAACAGCAGGGAGGAATTAATTTGGCCTCAGATTGCAATGAGAGAGGATGTAGATCCCTACTCCTAATAAAAAGTCAAGATTCATGGGTTTACAGCAGTGAACAGGAAAAAGTCAAATGTATCTGTAGAGGTCAGGATAGTTTATTTCTCCAAACTCATAACTAACTGACAATTTGCTGACCCCAGTGATAATATTTTTAATGCTTTCCAATGTGATAAGTAGGCACTACTCTTACAGTGCTTTGCTTGTAAGTTGCTACACCTAACCTCACAACGCCATAGTAGGGTGCTAATATCCCCTGTTTACAGATAAGTTAACTGAGGCTTAGGGAGCTCCATTAATTACCCATTCAGCTATAAGTAGTGGTGTCCTTAAATAGTCAAATTCCCTGTGCTGTTATGTCCCCTTATTGGGCTTCAGTTTCTTCTCTTTTTAATCAGGTTAATACATGCTCTACTTACCTGAGAGATTTATTTACAAGGATACAATAATGTGGATGTGAAAGTGCTTTTAAAACATAGTGAATCCTGGCCTCTTTCTAGAGTTGAATATTAGCCAGTTGGGCTGCTTTTGTGGATAAATATTATGAAAAATATGACTCAGAAGGATTCTTTCCAGGTAACTACATCCTTCTTATCTATTTTATCCTTTTGACCTTATTTCAACAGCACCATGTAATTCATGGTATATTATTAGTGAGATTACTTATCAGAATATCTCATAAGGCTCTGCTGAATGTCATAAAGTCACTACTTTGATACATAGGTGAGAGGAGCAGCCTCCTCAGGCTACTGGAATTAACCTCTTAACCATTGAAGCCTGTGTTGTTTGGAACCAGTTTCCACTCTTAAACCTTCAATTTCATAAGAACATCACTGTAACATATGTTGCTTTTCATATGTATACATAAACAGTTTTGCAAGTAGCTACATGGCAGATTCTACTAGGGTAATAAAAATGTTGATTTTGTTTTTCAGTACCTGCATAGAGTCACATCCCACTTACCAGGTTAATAGAAAAAGTGTATAAGTAGACATTTTCCTCATTGTCACCAGCAAGGACAGTCTCTCCTCAAAAGTGATAACAATTGACAAGATGAAAAGATGGCACTGCTGGCCATCTATCTTGCTTTTATTTATTACACTTTTTCTTTCATCAGCTACCTTTTCCCCTGCCTGTCTTATGCTGGAAGTCAGAACACTGCCTATTAAACACAACCAAGTGCCCTCTTTATAATCACTACTGGTTACTTCATAGAATTGATACCCTGTCATGTGGGGTTATAATGCACATTCAAAGAACTTGCATTTTTTTCATCAGCCTCTGTTGGGGCTATAATGTAACCTCCCAAAAAAATCCTTAACACATGGAACTTTCTGGACCCAACTCTACCCTGGGCATTTTTAGCCTTGGGAGCACTTTTGCCATTTTTTTCTGAAGCAGAACATTGGCTTTTTGGAGCCAGAGAGCCTGGATTAAAATCCCATTGGTGGAAAGCATATGGAGGTTCCTCAAAAAAGTAAAAATAGAAATAACATATGGCCCAGTAATTCCACTTCTAGGAATTTATCTGAAGAAAACAAAATGTCTGATTTGAAAAGATAAATGCACCCCTATGTTTATTGCCGCATTATTTACAATAGCCAAGATATGGAAGCAACCCAAGTGTCTATTAGTAGATGAATGGATAAAGTAGATGAAGTGGTATATATACACAATGGAATATTATTCAGCCATAAAAAAGAAAGAAATTATTCCATTTGTGACAACATGGATGGACCTAGAGGGTATTATGCTAAGTGAAATAAGCCAGGCAGAGACAGACAAATACCATATGATTTCACTTATATGTGGAATCCAAAAACAAAACAAAACAAAATGAACAAAACAGCAATAGACTCATAGACACTGAGAAGTGATTGGTGGTTACCACAGGGGA